GCCATGCTGGCTGGGGAATTCTGGGAGTTGAAGTCCACCCATCTTAAAGTCGCTGAGGTTGACAAACACTGATCTAAAAGATTAGATGCATGGATTGGGGTACAGTATTATGCCTGGATCTGAGGCCCCAAAGTGCTATTAATTTATAAAGCCTGAAATAGCTTGCAACATGGCTACTTGAACAAGCATTTCCTCTCCAATTTAATCATCAGGACTCTGAGGGCTTTTCCAGGTGTCCCTTCCTCGTGAGACAAGGTGGATGTCTGCTGAGAAAGGGTCTTGGCAGTGATGGTGCCCCATCTGTGCAGCACCAACTCCAGAGTTTTGCCTGGCACCCACATTATGGTCTCTGAGTGTCAGGCAAAGACCTTTCTATTTTCCTACTATTTTAAGAACCATTCTGGTGTTTTCCGGCTTGACTGTTTCATTGTTCCTCTACGGTGATTTTATGCTGTAATTGCAGCTGCTCCTGATTTTTATTTTATAATGTAGTGCTCTTCTCCATATAAATCTTATTGTTTTCATTGTTTTTATAGTTGTGCTTTTCTACAGTGTTTTAACTGATTATATATTGCCCACCGAACTCCTACTACTGGACTATGTAAAAGAACAATAAACAAGAGTTATAATTATAGATTACTGTATGGTTAAGAAGGAATGTCTTAACCATAATCTGATCCATGGTGTGTATTTGTACAACTTGTCAAATACACTGTGGTTTAGTATGTCATATCATTGGCAAAGTTCATCCATCACACTAAGTCATGGTATACACATAATGTCTGAGTTCACACAAACTAAACCCAACCCATTTCAGGTTTTTTTTTTTTTTTTTTGGCCAGTCTAATTACAAAGCAATGTCTCCACGTGCCAAGAATCTCTTGGAAATGACCCATTATGATTAAGAGCAAGCTTTTGACCAATTGTGGAAAGAGGTCAACCTTTCTTGTAGGACTGTTTATTAGCCACAAGGTGTCAGCCGTATTCTTACTTTTTGGAAAAAGTAAAGTGTAGAGTTAGAATGGCAAAATGCAAAGTTGGGAAAAGACTGAGGTGGATTGGAACAAGTGAAAGGGGGCAGTGGTTCAGAAGGCCAGAAAAGCTACTGGTGGGTAATAGTCCTAGGTTGTCAGCTTAGCCTATATTAATCTGAAACAAGAACTCCTTGTTCTGCATAGATGCAGATTAAAGTCACTGGCACTAGTAGAACACAGCAATACCTTGTTTCTGCCATGTTCTTTTGATGTTGTCTTCTTCATGTCCCCATCCCAGGAGCGAGACACCTTTGTCATCTTTAGCTGTATTAGTGTTAAAGGCATATTTTCTCCTGATTTCCCTTCCATCTGAGGACAGCTTCAGATTAGATAAAACTGGCTAGCCTGTCCCCTGTTTGGTGACTGCAGAGGTTTGAAACAGGCACAGCAGAGTCTGGATAGGGATCATCAAGGTGAACAGCAGATTTCATGGGGGTGTAGTTTTCTGCTGATCCAAGAGATGGTATGCATCTTTGAGCTTCTACTAAGAGGAGCAATAAAAATATAATCAATCCGCTGCTCCTAAATTTGGAAGCTCAGGGGTGTTGCAGGGAGGGTCATAAAGGTCAAGATGGTATCCACAACCACACAAATATAGCCCAACCCCTTTTCCAGTGTTGCATGCACAAGGACTGTGAGAAGGGGATGGGGCTTCAACTGTGCAGTCTTGCACTCCTTGGGGACACTTTTAACTCCCCTTGGGGACACTCCTGCTGGTACTGCAACCAGCAGCAAGAAATAAACCTACCCTCCCTGAATTTCTTTAACCCTCCCCTTTAAAATCATAGTCTCCTGTGACAGGGAGTTCCCCAAGTTATTTTAGTAAGTCCTTTCTTTTGTTAGCTACAAATCGCTGCCTGTTAATGCCAGCGGATGAGCCAAAGTTCTCATTTTTTGAATTATGGGGAAATAAACGTTCTTGCATTTGTAGCTTCGTTAACTGCAGCAATGCCCTCCCTCTCCTTAAATTAAAAACTCAAATACTTATCCTTTCCTCCTAGAGGTTTTGCTCCAACTTTCCCCCCTTTGATCATTTTGGCTGATATTTACAGACTTCTCCCAGCTTTGTTTTTTATAACAAATGACTTGGGTTTTTTGTCTCTGTGCTGTTTTGCTTGTCCAGAAACACAAAGCCCAGACAGAAATCATGGTGAGATTTACCCTGTCTGCCCAGTTACAGGCTGGGTCCATTATAGACAAAGCATCTTCCCTGGAATTTCCTCCTTTCTAAAGAACACAGGGGTTATTCACACCCATTCTCTCCTCTCCTTTTCAGTTTCTCTTAAAAGGAGAACAAAATGTGATGTAAGCACACAAACAATAAAAAATTATAAGGCCTCTTTTAAAAGCCTGGTGTAGCAGAATGAACTACAAAACCAAGGTGCTCCAGATTCAACTATCCCTTGTGCCATGGGCAAACTTTGGGGAGTCCCTGGCTTCACACAACACACGAAACCAGTGTTCTTCAAACTTGGCAACTTTAAGATATGTCGACTTCAACTTCCCAAATTCCTCAGTCCACACATTTAAGTTGCTAAGTTTGAAAAACACCGCACTAACCCAACAACACACTACCAACCAATAAGAGTGTGACTGTCACCTTCCACACCGCTGCGAGGCCAACCGGAAATGAGCAAACAAGGGCAGTGATGAACTCGTTCAAAAGTTCAGGACAAAGAACAAAGCCTGGCCATTCTTTTCGAAATCTGCCTCCGATGAATCAGAGAGCCATAATTTCTGGCTGAGATACTTTAACAGGTTCTTTAATAAGAACTCTGAACAGGGGCATCCATGGGGTGTGTATGTGTAAAATAAGCCAAGATAGTGGCCATGATTTTGCAATTGAAGTCTTGCAGCACCTGAAAAAAAACAGGTGGACATCCCTATGAACACACTAAGCCATAATGTAATTTGTTTGGTTTGGACTTAAGCCATTTTCCCAATAATGACTGATGGTGTCTTCTAGCATTAGCTGGCCAACCTTGAGGTGCCATAAAGCCTGACTTTGTTTACTCTTACTTTGGCATGATGGTTGAGTAACTCTAAAAGAAGCTTTGGACGATGCCAGAATAAGGGCGGGGGGGGGGATCCTGCTTTCTGACCTATAAAATGGAGAACATCTTAAGGCTGTCTCATTCCTGGGCTGAGATAGAGAGGAAAGCAGTCAAAAAAGACATTGCCCAGGCACGTTTGTGTCACAGCTAGGTGTGGCTGTAGGGATAGATTACTAGTGGGTTTGTGCCTTAGTGTGATTGGTGAACCCATTCACTTGTTTGCATTAAGAGACATCGTGCTACTAACCAAGAAGCCAAACAGATCTAGGATTATGACACAAGGTTCATTTTTGTTACAAGAGATGGCCAATATCCAGGATGATGTGATTGAGAGCTCTGTCCTTATTACTGAGTTACACACCTTATCTTTGCTGCAAGATGAAGACATCAAAATAAGGAGGAATTTCCTTACTGTGAGAGCTATTAAGCTGTGGAACATCCCGCCTCTTGGATTCATGGCAGTGCCATCACTGGAAGTTTTCAAGCGAAGATTAAGCAACCGTTTGTCTGATGGTCTGAGGATTCCTGCCTTGGGCAGGGGATTGGACTAGAAGACCTTCAAGGTCCCTTCCAACCCTATGATTCTATGAAACGGGGCTACAGCATTCCTATGGGAGCAATGTAGTGCCTGGGGATAAGGGAATCCTTCCATTCTTTAACAACACACAATTAAACTTTGGAATATGCTACCACAGGTTATGGTGCTACCAGCTTGGCTAGCTTCAAAAAGAGTTGGATCAATTCATGGAAGTCCTGGGGATCCCTGGCTATTACCCTTGATGGCAGTGTGGGCTGCCTCTTAAGGCCATCTGCTGAGAGACCAGTGGGCTTCCTTGGGCAGTTGGCTGGCACTGTGAGAACAGACTGCTGGACTAGATGGGCCAGGGGTGCCATCCAGCAGGCCACTGTTTACGTTCTTATCCCATGCCTCACCGGCTTACGGAACTCACTGCTAGAAGCTGCGGCAATGGGTTCCCCCACCCCGCCTTTTCAGAACCATGAAGCAAAGTGAGCAGAGGGCCCTGAGCCATCCGCATTCATAGGCTGTGATCTTCCGTCCCCGAGGGACAAATAGCGAGTCGGGGCGACAGACGGGCGTCTTCTTTGATGGTCGGCCGGTGAACTTCTGCGGGGAAAGGGGCGTGGGATCCCCTTGGCTTCAGCCAAGCTGCTTTTCGGGTGGGGACCGCAAGTGTAATGTTTATTGCCTCTCGTCGCCAGCAGCAACGGCAGCAACAGAGATCCTGCCGACCCCCTCAGCTCTCCTTTCCCTCCGCCCACGCCCCACCCTTTCCCCTCCTTCTGCCCGGCGTCCCCCTCCCGCTCCGGCGCTTGGCGCCACACCCAGCTCCCCTCACGCCTCGGCCAACCCAACCCGGGCTCTGTCGCCTTCTCGGTCCGACGAGGAGCATCTTTTGCTAGCTCGCCGCGGGAGTCTCCGTCGCTGCCGGCTCTCTGCCCGCCCAGCCTTGGAAGTAAGCAGGACCTTCGGAAGAAGAGTGGGGCTGGGGGAGCCGTGGAGAGCTCTGAGAGTTAAAGGAGGCGCGGAGCGGGGCTCTTAAAGTTGAGAGGAAAGCAGTGCGTGGAATTGGGGGGCGTCGAGGGCTCCAGCGTTTAAAGCTGGTTACTCAGGGCGGCCCATGTTCCTGCATTCCGAGGGGAAAGCGAGCGGGTCTTAAAGAGTTAAAGCAAAGAGGTTTGGGGTAGGATATTTAGGCTGGAAGTTGGAGGCGACCGTCGTTCTTAGGAAACGAGGTGCGTTGCTGCGACCTGTTCGCAGGGCTGTTTTTCGGGTGAGCTGGGGGACGTTGCAGTGTCAGGGTGCCCCACCCCCTGACTTCCCCCCCCTCTTTTTTTTTTTCCAAAGAAGGAGCCCCTCTATTTATGGGTTAACTTTGCAGCAGGAGGCAAAACCACGGAGGTAATGCTCCTTTTTAAAACATGGAGGCAGTGGAATGCATTGCGAATATGGCTTCGGCAACCCGGTGTGCACAAGTGAGCAGCAGAGTTTGCAGGAAAACAGAAGTAGCAAAGATTTTAAGATATGACACGGCTGGCTTCGCCATAAAGAACCTCTGAAGTGATTTTGAAATGAACGTGGGGCAGATTGTGCCATCACAGCTGTAGTATATAGCTTACAATTTTACCGACTGAGTCTGTGAAAACTTGTTTACTATGTCAGTGTATCTAAATAGAACCTTCATGTTTAGAGGCAGTATACCTTTAAATAACTGCGGAAACAGAAAACTTGTGCAAGCTTATGGTTGGTCAGTGTATGAAAAGAATTGGTGTCCTTAAAAAACTTCTGTCTGAATGTCGCATTTTTTTCCAAGAACGCAGCTTCTTAAATTTGCTAAATTTTTGGTCTCCTAAGACTTTTAATTAAGGAAATTGTATCCCTCTAATAATACTGTATAGGAAAACTGCAATATTTTCTCAGGACAGAAGCTGAACGATTTCCTAAAGCTAATCTGGTGAGGGGAGGATGTTGTAATAGATAATAGGTGTGGTCTTTATCAATATGGAAGTCACATGTAATGTCTGGGTGCTGTGCGTGTTACAGTGCAAATAACAAGATGGGCAGTATTTAATGTGTGCAGAGGACAACTGTACAATAGATGGAACAGTGTAGGGAGTCAAATAGTGTGTATTTGTATCAATAATGCATGCAGTACAATTGCAGAGACATGTTGCTATTGTTGAATGCATTTTTATGTAAGGAGGAGAGAAATATTTTACTAAGGGGAAGCATGTATGTGTGACATGACCAACATCTATGGGTTTGTGTTGTGTACTTTATTGTTAATGCCCACAGTTCACTAGATGCTTAATAGGAGAAACCATTATGGGTATTTAAAAAAAAATCTTATTTTTGTAGAATGCATATTCTTTTCTTAGTTACTCTTAGCCTGACATTTTCGGTAGCATTATGAAAAGACTCCACAAAATAGAAATCTGTACTGAAATGATTTCTCCTCTCCGCTGTATGCTGTTGTTAGTCGTTTTGTAATATGGCAGCACCTTGGACTGGGGAAGGATCAGTTCTTTTTTTAATTCATAAGAGCTTCCCTGCTTATCTCAACATGATTATTACTAGGGCTACTAGATCCGGGCTGCAGAAATCTGAAAGGCCACTAGATGGCAGCAAATAGTTACATTTTCTAGATTTCTTTGCTGCCATCTTTCAAAATTTTGCAGACATTTTGCAAAACCCTGCACTAAGGCTCATGATGACACCTGCACAAACATGTACCAGCCACAATGGTGCCTTTCAAGGAAGGGTTTTCTGTTCCATTCCATGGTGCAAAACTAATAGATTTCGCAACAGATTTTCCAAAACATTAAATTGAATCCTCTTCATGCAGTCATATGTACAGAAAAATATCCTTTAAAAATCTAATGCCATGCTTTGTAAACTGAGAAATCATGTTTCTTTAAGAATGGCTAACAAACTGGGCTTTGGTAATAAATAATAATATTAAATCAATCAGGCTATTAACAACTGAAATCTATTATATGTATTTATTTGTAAAACATATCCTACAGTTAATCTACAAAGCAATGGTACACTTAAAAGAAGGGGTGAACCTTTGGTATTCTTAATCTACAGCAGTGTTTCTCAACCTTGGTGACTTTAAGATATGTGGACTTCAACTCCCAGAATTCCCCAGGTGGTCCCTAACTTTTAGATACTTTGAATTACCTCTACTCATTAATTGCATGTCACAACGCCTAGCTTTACTTTGCAGCTCTAATTTTATCCAGTGGGTTCTGCTGTTTTTCTGTGTCTTCTACTTTTGTGGGCACACATTTGTGGGCTTTTAGAGAACAGGAACAGGAACCAGCTCTTCTAAGGTCCTGCCTCTTGAGTTTTCTGTGTTTGAAACAGTGCTTCAGTTGTATCCTGCAGTGTGTAAGAAATAGTTCTATGCCCTGGGCGTTTCCACCTCTTCTTTGCTCAAGGTTTTTTGCACCACTGCACGATGGCTGAATCTTGATAACTGTCAACATTACTTCTAGCAAATGCAAATTTCAATCTCGCTCTCTTTCTCTCTTGCCCAGCATGTTTGTAAGATTAGGTAAAGATGTTCCTAGTTTTCACTCATTTGTTTAGATAGTGGTTACATTTTCCTTTAAATTCTGCCTGCGTTACGATGATCTGAGTCAGCCTTAAAGTCAGCAATGAACCTGACTTTTGCAGGCTCCTTCAGCACATCAAGATGCCTATTTGAATGTACTTTGCAGGGTGAGAAAAGTGAATGTGATAAAGTTGCATGTAGAACTTTGCTTTTGTTCTCCCTTCAGCATCTTACATGAGAGGAGTGGGGTTCAGTTACATAAAACTTTTTATGTTTGGTGTTGGTTAAAGTGTTCTTGGAAAAACATTACGATTGTGAATCAACTCAGATGTACAGCAGCGTCAGATGGAAAGTAGTCTATTTATCTAGACTGTTCCATTTCAGACCAAAGGTTACAAGTCTGAAGTTATCTCATCAAGAAAGCTCTCCATATGGTTAGAAACAGCCTGCTGAGGAACAGAGATAAATTCTACTGTCTGAGATGCTCATTTTCTCAGTGCAAGGATAGGGAAAAGACAGCAGGATTCATACAGGCAACATTTTTTTCTGCCACCTGAAATGTGATGTTGTTATGCAAAACAGCTGCAGGTTAACTTGGCAGGACCGCTTTGCAAAAACCACTGTTCTGTCAGCATTTCCCCCTTGTAGGCCCCAAACAAGTGGCATGGCTGTATGTGTCTGGACAGGATAGGACAACTTTTTACTAGCCACTGAATCTTGTGGTTTCTTGCAAAATATCCTCTACAGTTGCACAGTTCCCATATAGTGAACGCTAACAGGCAATAAAAGCCATTAGAATTGTAAAAGACATTCTAAGATGCTTTAAAATGGTTTTTCTGCTCTCCTTTTCTTCAAGCAGCTTACCTTTACTTTCAAACATCTTTTTTTTTTTTTTTTGCTCTCTTTTTCTTCTCTCCAAACATAGAGGGCTGACTGGCAGGACAAGGCTAGCCTACCAAAGATTCTAGTCCCCCTTGCAGCCGAGGGAAAGGAGCTGGAGCTGCTAGGAGACATTTCTGACTTTGGAAGTGACAGGAGAGGAAACCCTCGCATCAGGGTTTGCAAGGCAAGGGAAGAGTGTGCTGTGTCTTTGGGAGATGACTCAGAAAGAAGACAGTGAGGCTGGCTCAGAGCCTGGGATTTGTCTGTCTTCCCCCTCTCTGTTCCTCAGCTCAGAAGCAGAGCTTGATTAAAACCAAATGTCCAGCTTTGGATAAAAAGGGATTTTCTCCTGCCCTTACATGGATAACATGGATTTTCTCCTACCCACCCTCCCTGCATGTGTCTCCACCCTTTTTCAGCCCTTGTTGCTGTCTTGGCCTTCAACCTCTGCAGGAAGAAAGTGTTTTCCGACTTTGGCTGAAAAATAGTAGCTCCCGTTGTCTGTAATGTAATTGTGAGACATAGACAGATGGGAGTAACTTTTTAGTCCCCAGAAATTCTTGTCCGTTCTCTCATCGCACCTTAATTTGCCATAATTGGGAATAGGAAAGTGCCGTATCCGCTTTGGTTGGACAATATGCCACCCGGCCTTCTCCAGCCTCTGGATCATTTGGACTTCAGTTCCCATTATTCACAGTCAGCACATTATATATGCTGTGTAAGCAGGGAGGGTTTGTCTCCATCTGCAAAAGGAAACAGCTTCACTCTGGATGTTATTCCTAGCTTGTACCTATTTTAAATCCATCTGCCTTGCTGGGGCAATGTTTAAGTTAACTGAAGTTTAGCAAAGGAGTTGCAAGTTATGATTTTTGTAACTGTAACTCTTCAGTTACCCCAGTAAAATATTGCCCCAATACATATTCCATCCCCCACTTTTGCTGTTGAGAACCTTTATGTACCGGTACCATTTATTGTGCTAGCTATACCAAATTTGGAAAAAGAAAATAAATCAAGAGAATAAGAGCTATGTATTATCTGGAGAACTCTAGTTATGAACCCAACACCCATAGAAATAGCATACATACATTATTTAAGTAACATAAATGAATTACAAACCTCAGAATAGATAGATAACATTACATTGCTACATTTAGTTAACTGCCCTCTTTTTTCACTTATAGCTGTTGATGTCCAACAGTTGCTATCATGAGTTACTTTGCAAAATTAGGACTTCCATGTTACCCATAGGCAGATGTTAAAAGACTACCTGTAGACATCTGGATTGTGAATAGCCAGTGTTAATTTTAGCATTAAGTCTTTTGAGTTTCTGATTGTTAAAATAAATTTTAAAATATTGTTGCTGTTGTCATTCATCACTGTTTTGGATGAGTGGTACTTATGTTACTTTTCTCATTTTTAATAATTGTTGTCTTCCTTGCCATTGAACTTCCTTTGTGATTGACTATTGCAAACTACTTTAATCAATGTTACTAGTGTCTTTCAAGAGAAGCAGCTAGGGCAGGCCTACCTGATATTCACAAGTCACCCAGGATCTTTAATGGGTGAGATGGTACCAATCAGGCAGGGAGACCAAGAATTCCTATATAAATGGCAAACAATTCATGCTTGCATTTTATAGATGGGGTAGATCTGAAAATGTTTGAATGAGGTATACAAAGCTGCCTAGTAGATCTGGGACCAAGCAAGAATTTGTGTCTAGAGAGTGCCTGTCTGCTAGACTCTGCTGGTTCAAAATTTGTCAGCACTTTGTACAACATTGCAGAACT